AGAGCTGGTCTCAAAATAAAAAAGACTGGAGATGCAGCTCAGTGTTCCAGGGACCCTGGGTACAACCCTAGTACCAAAAGAAAAAAAAAAGACACAGTCATAATTTTGATTTTTTTTTTTTTATCTCTCATCTCCAACATCCTGAATGTGTCATGAATCTCTCCACTTCTCACCAACCTCACCAACATTACATTAATCCAAACCATCCATCATTTCTCTGGCAATAATCTCTTTTTTAATCAAAAAATTTTGGTTTTAGTTGTAGATGAATGCAATATTTTTGTTTATTTATTTTTTATATGATGCTGTGGATTGAACCCAGTGCCTCACACATGTGAGTCAAGCGCTCTACTGCTGAGCCATGACCCCAGCCCCTGGCAAAAAAAATCTTTTAGTCAACCTTTTCATCACCAAACTTGCTTGACACTTAAGGTTCGCACACACACAAAGCAGCCAGAGATTTTCAAATATAGCCATGATGTTTTCATACCCAATATTCAAACTCTTTTAGTAACTTCTCACTCCCCACCTTCAAGCTCAAACTCTTTAAGGTGAATTATGCACACGAGGTGGCCCCCAATCTCCTCCCAATTCCCCCAGCCAATTGTCCTCTCTCGCCACTTCCTTTCTCCCTCTGCTGGCTCGGGTGATTGTTAAAACTGGGGATATCTGCAGCAGCCTGAAATGGCTTTTGGGCTCCTGTTCTGTATTCCATGGGTGGCCTCACAGCCATAATGAAGAGCAGTGGAAGCACAGGAGACAAAAAGCAGGCGAAAGTAATTTTTATCAAGCTCCTTTTTGAGTCAGATGTTCTTGTACAGGCAAAATAGGAAAAAGGAAACACAAAGATGACTTTGGGGGAAGAATTTCTAAAGGAGAATGCATTCTTGTGTTTTCACCAAGCTACAAGCTCCTCTGGATTTTAATATTATAGTGAGTGGGGTCATAACAAGAATTTCCTCTATTGTTGGCTACACAGATGCAAAGCGGTGCTCAGGAAGCTGGGAGATTGATGAATAGTTGGTTTGATGTATTTGAACCATTCACCACTTTGAGTTAAATGTGCATATTCTGTTCAAAATAGACAATGGGGAGGGGCGGTCCCCCCTTCCTTCTCTAACTTGCATAACATCAGGCCTCACTGCTTTAACTAATGAGTATTTAGAAGTAAAGACTCCTACTGATTCCAGCCAGCCATTAATTCTCGGCTTGCAGAGCCACTGTGGAGTTTTTCATCAGTCACATTTTTTAGCCATTACCAGTTGCTTCTGAGCAGTAGTGCTGACCCCTGGATTCCTGTATATGTCACACATCAGACACATAATGGGTTCCCTTGGAAGGAATTTTACTGGGCACCAGGAACAGACGCAAAGAAGATGCACATTATGGCCACTCTGTTGACAAAGGTGTCTCAGAACTGTTAGTTTTGGGGAAATGTAACCGACTTTGAGTGAAAATGTATATATAAACCAATATGCAACCTGGTCGAAGGCAGCAGGTGGAGGTGAGCTGCAAAATTCTCTTAAACTAATCGCCCAGTCAGCACTGCCCTTTGTAATAATGATGTTTGCTCCAGGTTTATTATTTTGCTCAATAGCTTCATTGATCTTGCCTCAGTGGGCTTTCCATTTTTACACATTACATTCTCTTGGGAACTGAAAAGCACTGTGTCTCTGAAGATGCTCAGTCAACTTGAAAAGACTCATTTTTGCAAAGGTCTTAACCTGCCTTCAGCTTGAAGCAATTCAGACTTTGCCCAAGCAAACAGGAGGGCAGAGAAGCATCACTGGAGTATCTGTTTCTACCATCATTTGGAAGCTGTTTCTCTGAAAGGTCATTTACAGACTGATGGTGAAGGGTGTTCAAAATTCAGGGATCTATACTCATAACTAAAAGAATATACATATAATTGGGAACAGGGCAATTCATTATTTAATGGATTCTGCATTATTCAATGTCATAAATATTTTGTGGGAAGGCCTACTGTTCCATTAAATCTCCAACTATTAAACTTATAATGAGCAAAATCATAATGTGTGGAGGAAGGGAAAGTCGGGAGAAGAAACACACAGAAAAGGCCATGAAATAACTCCCACTCAAATTAAGATAAATCCAAGTTGGAAAGGCAAGAATTACATGGCTTTTCTTTTTGAATTTGAGAGAATCTCATTTTATTCATCAATAATTCTCTGCTATTTGAAAGAAGGAAGGGCAAATTAAATATCTTAAACTCATGACTGAGGGATCCAGAAAGACGAGAAGCTCTTCAACCCCAAATAACAAAACTTCAAATAGCATAGCATTAAAAAAATACCAAGAATGGTATATTTGACATTAATTGAATCAAAGGTAATACACAGAATAAAGTAGGCAAAATGTTCAAACTACTAGAAAGCATGAAATTTAAAGTGCTCTGCATTTCCTCTCTACTGTGTAAAAGTTTAACCATTTGGTGAGTACTAAGTCAGCCAGTAGACTTTTCTCCACAGTACTTTTCAAATGGTTAGGTAACAGGTGAAAAAGGGAATAAAAGGGCAAATTAACACTGCAAATTAGTCATCTTCTGACAACATCCATATTTCACAACAGTGACTCAGCGAACTACTTAATGTGAACTTCAATGGCTTTTAATCTGTTTTGTAATGAAAAGACCTGACTTGATTTGTGCTTTCATATGACTTTATCAATCATTTCCACAGTTCGGAGAATACTAACAAACAATTAGTTCTTGGGACAAAAGTTTGCCTATATTAACCTTCAACCCACCCAGACAGCCATAGGCAGCACTCAACTTTTCCATTAAAATGAGAAAATGTCAGGAGCTAAAAATATAAGTCTATGCAAAGGTGTGAAACTTCTTTCCAAATTATTACCTTGGAACAATGACAATAGTTAAGGTTTTCTCTTTTTCAGAGGGAAGAGGCAGAGATCCCAGCCCTTCTCCCCACCTCCCCCAAAGATTTGAGTCACAGGGTTTCTTTGTGCTGACAACCAGTTATCTCTGCTTGAAACCTAAGCAGAATTTGGGGACCACCTGGAACCAAGTGGGGCTGGGAGCTTTCCAGATGGATTATAAGACAATTCATTGATATTTACATAAGGAGAATAAATGTTTTTCCTAAGATAGCATGTCCCTTCAGTATCTTCAGACCACCAGCAAGAGAGGGAGGTACAGAAATTCTATTACATTAATAGTCTTTGTTTTTATGGCTTTGGCATTTATTAACTAGTGGGAGCTGTTTATTGGGTCATAAACTTTACTAATGGGGATATTATCTCTAAATTATAAATCTCCTTCAGTATATGGCTTAGTTATAAAAAGAATAATTATTTAAAGTGTCTGTATGGCTGCAATGTATCATGTTTATCGGCATGATTCCTATAATGGCTATTTCATTGTTTTGTGGGCTTGAACTAGGAATGATCAAGGCAATAATACACATCTATGCAAGAGAATAAGCAGTTGTTACCCCCCAAACTCAGGAGTGTTCTCTTTGGTTTCCTTCCCTTTCTTTTCTCCTTCTGCTTCTCAAATGAAGTAATTACAAGCTGGTATAAAGGCTAAATTATCTATATATCTCAACTCCTGAGGAAAAGATAACCAAGTTAAGAGTTGAATAGGTAAGTGACAAATGTGTCAGCTTGAAAAGTTCCAGGAAAGTGTCATCATTCTAAAAGCTTGCTCTCTGGGGAATAGAAAATCTTAAAGTGACAAAATGGCTTGGCACTGTCAGTTGTCTTCGAAAAATATAAAAATCCTGGGACAGAACTCACAGTCAAAATTAGGGTTTATGGGTAGATGCTTCTAGTATCTTAATTGAATATACTGGTTTATTAGAAGTTCTGTGGAGTCTATTTTAACAATGGTACATGTGTAATTAATTATCCTAGATGGCTTGTATAGAAAAGCCATCTATTGATTAGCTCAGTTTTTTAAAAAGATGAAAAATCCATTGTTGTTGAGCAAAATTGGTCCACCTGAGTGCCAAGAAGCCAGCTCACTTCTAGGCAAGATGCTACAAATGTGGAATGAAAGAATAAGGAGACAGGCGGGGTCCCTGAAATGTCATCAGCATCTCATCCTCTCCTCAGAGTAGCTACTGAAAGGTGACTGGTGCAGTCCTTTCCTGACAGGGTTGTGCCATCTCTGAGAACACTGAGCAAATGGATTTATGATACCCAGCATGCAACAATGAGGATTCAGGTAGACTGCAGAAGATTTCTAATACTAAGTTCCCAGAAGTCTATGGCCATGAGTTTTAATCAAATGTAGACTCTATCACAAGAATTCTGCTGAAGAAAAATAAACATAGAACCAGGGAGATGTAGTTTTAGAATATTTAAACGTCTGGGCCTGGGGGCTGTTGGTATGTATGTAAAATAAACCAAAACAAATCCTTGAAATCTTCAGCATTCACATCCTTAAATATTTTAGACATAATACACTTTTGGTCATACTATAATTATATACACATGCATATATTCCTAGGCTAACAAGCTGACTTTAGATTCAAAAAGGGCATTAAAAATACAAACACTGCATATGTTTCAATTTTTCACCCAAATGTGTGTGTGCTGGCAGGGAGGAGGTTCCTTTTCTTCACATAACTTTACTAATTTCAGAAAATAAATACATTCACTCTAGAGAGGTTTAAGACTTATTTTGATGAGGTGAGTTGCTATAAAACTTAATTATATAAGTAATAAACACATGTCAAAAAGATTTAAAAATGTTTAATGGAATCACAACTTATTGCTCTGATATAATTTGATTTTAAATTGTCATATATAGCTGTCAAAAACTATTTTATTTTTATATTGCAATAAATCAAAATACATTGGATGGAAAAATTATCATAAGATTCTTTGGTATTCATAAATCATACATATGATAAAAATGTTCAACATTTCTTTAAATGGCATTTTTAATAGTGCTGGTACATTAGTAATATAATATGATGCTCTGAAAAACTAAAATGACAAAAGATTAATTGTGCTTTATAGATTTCTATTCAATATGAACCTTGTTTCTTTTTGCATTTAATAAAATTATATCTACTAAAATAAACTTGGCAAAATTAGAGAGGTACATCAAAGGAAGTTGATTCAAAGTGTCTCATGGTTCCTCCTCCTCTAAGCCAAACACATCCCTCAAAAGGTCTAAGTATCTAATGAATTTCACAGGAATAGGTGATGGCATTCCGAGCCAAACATCTTCACATTTCTAGGAAAAAACAAAGATGGATATAATTAGAGCCACATTTCAAAACACAGTTTTGAAAATTCAACATCAAATTGTTTCTTGCCATTTGGTAAACAGTTTATTTTCAAAACATAATTCTTTGCTGTCCACTTCAGGATCATGAGGACTTTAGTATATTAGATTATTTCCTCTTTCTCTCTCTTTTTTCTTCCAGTGCTGGGGTTGAATCCAGGGTTTTGTGCATACTAGGCAAATGCTCTACCACTCAGCTACATCCCCAATCCTAACTTCTGTATCTTGATCCTTCACTTGCTGCCTCTCTTAGAATTAAAAAGGTCCACACTCTGCCATGTGACTGCAGACCCCCCCACAGAAGAGGAGGAATGTTTTCCTGTCCCTTTGATATGGGCTTGGCTACATGAATGGCTGTGGCTTGCGCACTTTTAGTGCTGGCCTGTTATACTTTTGCTACCACCATGAAAAGAGCATGGCCCTGGATACTGCTGGCTCTATAGAAAACCAGGCCTACTTGCAACCTGGAGCTCAGCCCAGTTACAGCCATCCAAGCTCACCTGACTTATAGGCCCATGGGCAAGAAAAATAAACATGTCTTGTGAACCACTAAAATTTTGGGAGTTGTTTGTTAGGCAGCACTACTGTAGTCATGGCTCTGCTATACTTTATTAAGAACTCAACTTTTTTCCTGTTTATTTTTAAATGTTGCTGGGAATTGAGCCCAGGGCCTTGTGCATGCTAGGTGAACACTCTAAAACTGAGCTACATCCCTAGCCTTAAGAATTCAATTTTAAAAATTCAAACTGGTAGCTATACTGGCAGCCTGGGTCCCATTTCTTCAATAAGCTGTTAAAAGAGCACTGGATCACTCACAGTATCCTTTTAGGGATAAGCTACCTTATATATACAGTCATGTGCTACATAACAGTGTTTTTGCCAATGATGTACTGCATATCTGACAGTGATCCCATAAGATTATAATGGAGCTGAAAAACTCCTACTGCATAGTAAAGTCATAGCTGTCATGATATTGTGACACAACACATTACTCATACATTTGTGATGCTGGTTTAAACAAACCTAGTTTGCTGCCAGTCAGATAAAGGTATAGCACATACACTAATGTACATAAGTATGTACAGTTAGTATATAGTGTTGGATAATGATAATAAATGACCATGTTGCTGGCTTATGCATTTACTAAAATTTTAATCATTAGAGTGTACTCCTTCTACTTAAAAGTTTACTATAAAACAATGTACCATGTTATGCTATGGTGGCCTCATATCTTGTGTTTACCATGCCTCTTAATTTCATTATTTTCTTTTGTGCTTGATTTAATCTCATATCACTTTATTCATTAGGGCTCTAGAGTAATAGGCTATACTGTATGTATACACACACATACACAAACAGCATATGGCCCAGGAATATACTAGCAGTAACATCTAAGTTTGTGTAAAGCATACTCTTAGGATTCTCATTCAACAGTAAAATCACCTAATGATGCATTTCTCAAAATATATCCCTATCATTAAGTGACATATAACTGTATGTGTATGTGTATATATATGTGAAAACTTTTACATATGCTACAATGGTCAATTAATATTAATATCAACAGAGGGAAAGTCCATAACTGCAGTTGCTTATATTTCTATTATCAAGGTTAATTGTATTATATAAAATGTTCTATTTCTTCTTTCGTTTTGTTTCTTGTAGTGCTAGGGATAGAACTGAGGGCCAGGTGCATGCTAGGCAAGTGCTCTACCACTGAGCCACAGTCCTAGCCTACAAAAAGGTTTTAAATCTCTACCGGTGTTACATTAGTGTCCACAGTCACAAGGTGTCACAGAAACACGGGGAGAAGCTCAATAAGTCTATGTGATGGAATTCTGGAAGCACACTGAGTCAGCAAGGTTTCAGTTGGGCCTTATGGGATGAGGAACATGTCTGCAGGGGGTTAAAGCACTGAAGGGTGCTCCAGGCATAGGGAATAAAATAAGCAAAGGCCTAAAGACCTCAATATCTATTTTCAAGAAAGAATGAGTAGCCCAGTGTGGTCTGTAAGGGCCTTTTGTGATAGTTCATACTTGAGACTGTGAAGAGAGGAAGCTACTGGTTGGTCTTTTCCAGAGGAACAGCAGGAATCTGATTAGAAACTGATTAGATAACTTGTTGGGTGTATGGCGAGTAAAATGAAATAGAGAAGCCAATTTGATGGTGACTGTGACAGTCCTGAGGAAAGATGACTGCACCATAAACCAGAACAGGTGAAGCTGGGCTGGAGAAAAGGGGCTATGTGTGAAAGATTCTACTGCAGGAAAACACAGAATAATAAGAAGGTAAGATTTGAAATGGTGATAAAAGAAAGGGGTAGTAATATGTTTGAATAATGTACCCCCACACAAAGATATGTTGAGGTCCTGACCCTCCATATCTTAGAGAGTGACTTTATTTGGAAATCAGGTTTTTGAAGATGTAATTAGGTAGATTAAGATGAGGAAGATGAGGTCATATTGGAGTAGGGTAGAGCATTATTGCAATAAGACTGGAGTCCTTAAAAGAAGATGGCCACAAGACACAAGGGGAGAATGACATATGATGACAAAGGCAGAGATTGGGATTATGTAGCTGTAATCCAAGAAATGCCACAGCTATGAGGAGGCAAGAAAGGATTGCCACACAGGTTTTCACCTGTTTTTAATTAAAAAACTACTCTGGAAAGGAACATAAAGATTCCTACAAAAACTAGGAATGGAACCACTATTTGATCCAGTTATCCCACTCCTTGGTATATATGAAAAGGATTTAAAATAGCAACACAATTCACAATAGCTAAGCTATGGAACAGACTTAGGTGCCCTTCAACAGATGAATGGATAAATAAAATGTGATACATATACACAACAGAGTATTACTCAGCCATAAAGAAGAATGACTTTATGACATTTGCCAGTAAATGGATGGATCTGGAGATTATCATGCTAAGTGAAATAAACCAATCCCCAAAAACTAAAGGCTGAAACATTGCTCTGATATGTGGAAGCTAATGAACAATAAGTGGGGAGGGGCAAGAATAAAAGTTCAGTGGAGTAGGCAAAGGGGAATGGAGGAGAATGAACCTGACATAACTTTCCTATGTACATATATACCACCATGAACCTATTATGTACATACATAAGAAATTAATTAAAAATAACTGGATACATGACAGAACAATCAATAAATGGAAGGGAACAGAGTTATTGGAAAGGAAGGAGAATTAGACATACTAGGGACTAAATTAGAAGAATATGTATTCCATGCTTTTATAATTATGTCAAAATAGATTCTACTATCATGTATAACTAAAAAGAACCAATAAAAATAATTCTAAATTTAGTAATAGTTGACAGTGTCCATATTAGTTTCCTAGGGCTGTGGTAATAAATTACAATAACCTGGGTGGCTTAAATAAACAGAAATTGATTCTTTCCCAGTTTAGGAGGCCAGTAATCTAAAACCAAGGTGTCAGCAGGATAGGCCCGTGCACCTCCCCTAGCTTGTAGAGGTTGTCAATCATCTTTGGAGTTCCTTGACTTGCTGAGACAGTTCTCTGCTTCTGTGTTCACATGGTGTTTTTTATATGTCTCTATTCTTTATGTGGCTATCTTATGAGGACTCCAATCATTGGATTGACAGTCTACCCTAATCCAGTATAACCTCATTTTAATGGATGATATCTACAATGATCCTATTTCCAAATAAGGTCACATTCTGAGGGTAGATATGAATTTTGGGGCAGGGGAAATATGCAACCCAGAGCAATAGCATGAATAAAATAAGGAAAGCAGGAAGAAAAAGAGTTAAAAGAAATTTCAGTGGAGAAATAAGGATCAGAGGGAGGCAGTATGTTCAATTTTGGACATTTTTATTTCAAGTTCCTATAGGACATCACAGTAAAGATTCTGGTAAACACCTGGAAATACAGTTCTCTAGAGTATACAGCTCACATCCAGACTATACAAAGATGTGGAAGTCACTGGCATATGAGTGATCTGTAAAATTATGGCAATTGATAATATCGATGTGGAATAAGAACCCCAAGTACTGGCCTCTTTAAAGCCCCAAATCTTAATTTAAGAGATGATTTATGATGATGAACTAGTTGAATATTTTTGCAGGGTTATAGGAATCTTCTCAATATCTAGTACTAATAATAAGACATTTATTGGATATTTAGTATATGATAGAAGCTCTTTTAAGTGTTTTACATGAATCCCATTGTTTAATCATCACAGAAAGTCCCCAAGAGGAAGATGATATTATGATGCCTATTTATAAAAGAGAGAAACAAGTCATAGAAGGACGAAATAGCTTATCTAAAACCAAACCATCAGTCAGTGGAGAAGCTTAGATCCTATCCCTGGCTGTGAGGCTCTAGAGCTATGCTTATCTACTAGGCTGCCCACCAAGACAGCAATGGAGTGGGCCTGTTCAGAAGTAGCTAACCCCCATCCCACATAGCTACATTTGGTTCTGTCATTTTCAGCAAAAAAAAGTTAAGTAGAAAACAATATTCTTGAATTGAAACTTTTTTTTTTCTCTCAAGAATGCCGCCTCTCAGAGACTGAGCCCAATCCAACAACTGGCAATGTAAAGAAGGAAATGACCCTTCTAAATTCTTTCTAAAGGGTGTTTTGTGTAATTCATATCATATGGAACTTAATGAAATGGGCTTCCTCACACCAAAAAGTAGTGAACCATTGTGAACATATTAAGCAATAATTTTAATCAATGAAGGCTGAGATCAAGACATTCAACTCCTATTGAACACATTCTCAAAAAGCTGATTACAAAATTTAGGGCAATTTTTGCTCTGAAGTGGTATTTTCTAGTTTAATCTTATTATAGGGGAATGGTACAAACATCCAGACTCAAAATTGCTATCTCCTGATAGGTATTTTATAAAGTTTTGAATATAAAATGAATAAAACACATATAACTCATTTAATTATGATGGA